GAGGAGATGCAAGCATTTGGGCTCATAAAAATCTTCTGAAAATATCTGACTGTCTGAAGCCCTGTTCTGCCAGTTTTTCCAGAGCATGGACTGATCATTCCTGGTCTCCGCCCTGAGCCCCTTTCAGGGAGGGTTGGAGGTCAGTGGCTGCCGCTCATGATTTAATGCCAGCAGAGGTGGATGGCAAATGCCAATGTGATCATATCCTTGTAGAGGCAGGTGGCAAGGCTAGTTTTCGGTTAGTAGTTTCTAGTAGAAACTGAGAAATTTTATATTAATAGACGGTGTGACTAATGCAGAAATGCCACATGAGTCAACACTTGACCTTTATTTACTGACCTTCATTTCAAACTAATTTCCAAATCAAATCATTTAATCATGGACTCTGCCCCTAACTGTGAACTTAGACAAAGTTACTTGAACTCTCACTCAAGGAACTCTTCTTAAAATCAAAGTAATAATATTTGGACCCATTAAATGAGAACATATCTTTCAATCTTTGCCCAAAGTTTCGAGATCACAGGAAGTGATAATAAACTGCAGCTTTAGCATCATGCCATGAGAATAGCGGTAAAAGTAACATTATTAGTTCTGTCACCTATATGGGAATTCCGAGAAAATGTGAAATTTATCAAGGTTTATTTCTTTTCCTCTTTGATAACAAAATAAAGAAATGATGGAAAAAGGATAAACCTGAAAGTTGTACTTCTGTCTATAATACAAGTTGAGAGACACCAAACTGCTACTGAGAAGTTAGAGGAGCCAGATGCAAGTTAAAAAAAACATTTTTTAAGGAATTGGAACATTTCCAAGGAAAGATTCAGAGACGTGAGTAAACATTTTGTGAGAGATTCTTCTCCTAGAGGCCCCTTGGTGATGGGTGACATGCTCTGGGCTAGCAGGCAGTCCCCTAGGAGAGATAAAAAATCTTTGTCAATGTCCTTGAAGAGCCAAAATTCCAAACAGAAGAGAAAGCCAGAGAAGTGAGATGAATCTTTTCCCCTCGAGCCATTTGCAGATTCTTCAACTTTACAGGGAGAGACTAGGAAGACAAATGTGAAAAGCAGAGTGGATTTTTGACAGTCATCTGATGTTGAGGAGAAAAAAATTCAATCTCCAACAAGGAGAAGGAGCTTTAGTAATAATCTGAGCTCACAGGTGGAATTTCTAGAAGGCTTAACCATTGGTACCAAAACAAACAAGAAATGGTGGAATGGTAGAGAAAGGGTAGACAGAATCTTGCAGAAACTGCAATGTAGATTTAAATCCACTCAGTCCTTGGTGGATTAAGGCAATAGCAACCCAATCTAATGCTGACCAGAGGATAATGTGATCATGTGAATACTCCTGGAGGAAGCTTTCTTATTATATATAGATCTAGATCTAGATCTAGATACAGATGTATTTACACTGACAAAAGTCAAGCAAAAATTCTCTTGTTGTGTCAAGAGGTAAAACAAACAAACATATAAACAAATAAGAAGCAGACACATAGATGACTCAGAAATTGGAATGATCAAACCCAAACTTTAAAATAACTCTGATTATGATTAACACATTCCAGACAATAGTCGATGAAAATGACATGTTTTACCAGAGAAGTGGATTCTCTAAATACAAATCCAGTGGAAATTTTATAACCCCAAACTGCAGCAAGAATTAAATAAGTTAGCATGAAGACATTTATGTAGAGCGTAAAAGAATTTATCAGCCCCAATCCTGGAAACATTAAAACGAATTCCTCAAGCAGGAGAAAAATGATTTCAGATAGAAACATGGAAATGTGGCCAAGAGCCAAAGAGCCATGGAAAGGGGAATATAAATTAATATTGATTACACAAAACAATAATAAAAATACCTTGAGAAGTGTAAAAAGTAAAACTAGAATTAAGTGCATGACAACAATAAAAAGTTGGGAAAGAAGTCATTTGAGTTAAAGCATTGAGTTCTAGCAGTTCTTGGAAGTGGTTAAGTCCTAAAATATATGAGACAGCATAAAGTGAAGGATACTCTTTTTATCTTAGAAGAAACACAAAAACAATAGGTACAATAATGGTTGACTAGTTGTCAGAGAAAACATGCTAACCAATGATGAGTGATGATTCTTTTCTAGGGAATTTGAAATACTCAGAAAAATTTGTTACATGCAGGCTATCGTTGGGGCCCAGGGTAGACTGTCCCTGAATGTGCCTCAATGGCATACGGACTATTTTGAATGAAAGTCACTTAAGAAATGGCGGACGCGGGATGGACATTTTGACCCTCCCGCCTGTCTCCCTGAACGCAGAGTGTAAGTCTCTCATAGGAAGAACACTGTTTGCTTCTGGGGGTGGAAGGACGCTCTTACCACCAGAGACAGGGAATTTGGGGCTGAGAAACCTGCATAAACAAACTCTGTTGCTTGTTTGATTGACTACTCCAAGCCCAAACTCAGTTTAGATTCTTCACTAATTAAGCACCCAAAGCGTAAATTTCTTTGTCCTGTCAATTTCTCACAAATTTATTGTTTGTTTTCCTAAACAGGATAAAAGCTGCCTGTTTTGAACACTTATTAGGTCTCATTTCTATGAGACCTCCATGCTCATGAATGAAAAATTGCTTCTGTCTTGAAATAGAAACACACATAAAACAAGGCTACCTGTTGATTGGTTGATGTAAATGCTTTGCCTAGAGGATCATAGGAACTTTAACTTTTATTTCTCCAGGAGCAATGGGGTCAATAGTCACTGATTCAGTTTATGGAAACTTTATGGAACCTAACGACCACAAACAATGACAATCAACCAGAAATCAAAACGTGCACGATTTAATTAATATTATACTCATAAAGAATTTTTTAACCTTAAATGCATGTATTGGTAAAGGAGAAAGGAAATAATGAATGAGCAAATTGTCCCAAAAAGTGAGATTAAAAGAACAGCATATTGGACCTCCCAAAGGTAGAAAGAGGGAAGGTTAAAGGTCAGAAATGTAGACAATAGAAAAGGGCATGCAGTGGAGAGAACCAGCCAAACTAAAGACTGGTTCTTTGAAAACATTAAGGATTGGAAAACACCGATGAATCTACTAAAGTGAAATCTAAGCAACCCCTATCAGTCAGAAGCTCCCTTCCCAGATACATACCCAACAAGGAGATGTATGAATGTCCACCCAAAGGCCTTGTACATGAATGTTCATAGCTGCTTTTTCATAATGGCCAGAAAAACAGAGGCATGGATTTTAATTTGGAATAGAGTTGTTGTTGTTTCCACTTACATAATATTCTCTTCCTCTGACAGCCTCCTTATTCCTTTTAATAAGTCCTTATTTTCTTTGTTCAAATGAACAAGCATCAATCTGTCTTGCAACAAAAGTACAATTAGTGAAAGAGCTTCATTGCCTTAAAAAAATATTATTTGTTTATTTATTGAAGTATAGTCAGTTTACAATGTTGTGTCAATTTCTGGTGTACAGCACAGTGCTTCCATCATACACAAACGTACATATATTTGTTTTCATATTCTTTTCACCATAAGCTACTACAAGATATTGAATATAGTTCCCTGTGCTATACAGTAGAAACTTGTTTATGTGTTTTATATATAGTAGTTAGTATCTGCAAATCTCGAACTCCCAACTTATCCTTTCCCACCTTCCATAACCATAAGATTGTTTACTAGGTCTGTGAGTCTGTTTCTGATTTGTAATTAAGTTTATTTGGCTTTTTTTTTAGACTCCACATATGAGTGGTAATCTTACAGTATTTTTCTCTCTCTTTCTGGCTTACTTCACTTAGAATGACATTCTCCAGGGCCATCCTCTTGCTGCAAATGGCATTGTTTATTCTTTTTTATGACTGAGTAGTATTCCATTGTATAAATATACCACTGCTTCTTTATCCAGTCATCTGTTGATGGACGTTTAAGTTGTTTCAATGTTTTGGCCATTGTAAATAGTGCTGCTATGAACATTGGGGTGCAGGTATCTTTTTGAATTAAAGTTCCCTCTGGATATATGCCCAGGAGTGGGATTGCTGGATCATATGGTAAGTCCAGTTTAGTTTTTTTGAGGAATCTCCATACTGTTTTCCACAATGGCTGCACCAGTTTACATTCCCACCAACAATGTAGGAGTTTCCCTTTTCTCTATCTTCTCTCCAGCATTTATCATTTGTGGACTTTTGAATGATGGCTATTCTGACCGGTGTGAGGTGATACCTCACTGTAGTTTTGATTTGCATTTCTCTGATAATTAGTGATATTGAACATTTTTTCATGTGCCTATTGGCCATTTGTGTGTCTTCATTAGAAAATTAATTGCTTGTTTAGTTCTTCTGCCCATGTTTTGATTGGGTTGTTTGTTTTTTTCTTATTAAGTTATAGGAGCTGTTTATGTATTCTGGAAATTAAGCCCTTGTCAGTCTCATATTTTGCAAATATTTTCTCCCATTCCATAGGTTGTTTTGTTTTGCTTATGGTTTCCTTTGTTATGCAAAAGCTTACACGTTTAATTAGGTCCCATTTGTTTGTTTTTGCTTTTAATTCTATTGCCTGGGTAGACTGCCCTAGGAGAACACTGCTGAGATTTATGTCTGATAATTCTTTGCCTATGTTTTCTTCTAAGAGGTTTATAGTTTCTTGTCTTGTCTTTAAGTCTTTAAGCCATTTTGAGTTTATTTTTGTGTATGATGTGAGGGGGTATTCTAAGTTCACTGCTTTACATGCAGCTGTACAGTTATCCCAACACTGAAGAAGAGACTGCCTTTACTCTATTATATGTTCTTGCGTCTTTTGTCAAAGATTAATTGACCAAAAGTTTGTGTGTTTGTTTCTGGGCTCTCTATTCTTATCTATTGATCCATATATCTGTTTTTGTACCTTCAC